AACGGTCTAAGCGCTAAGCAGAACCATAGCGGACTTAAAGAGTCTCCTTGAAATATTCCTCTATTGATGGATACCTCTCCGGCACTAAATTGCGTATCTTGGGTGTTGAGATAGAGCTGTGTCTTCCAATTCGCCATAGCATGTGCCAGAAATTGTTTGATGTGGCACTCGATCCCATAAAGGTCAAGCACCTCTAACAGCCAAGAGTGAGGTATACTGTCAAACGCTTTCTGATAATCGATGTATGCAATGTGCAGGGATATTTTTTTCTTTTTGGCATAATTAGTTATGACAGAGTCTATAACAAGTTGCTCTTTACAGCCTCGAGACCCTTTTCGGCAACCTTTTTGCTCTTCGTCTAGTATAGTATTCCGCTCTAGGTGTGAAAATATCTTTTCAGTAATTATAGCAGTCAATACCTTGTAAATAGTCGGCAGACAGGTGATTGGTCGGTATTTTGCCGGATCGTTAGAGTGACCGCCGCACTTTGGGATTAAATATGTTATTCCCATTGTTAAGAACTCTGGTAACATATCTGGTTGCTCTAAGATTGAGGTGTAACACTTTGCGAGTCGATCGTGAGCCGAAGTGAACGTTTTTAGCCAATAATTCTGAAGCTTATCTGATCCTGGGGCTTTCCAGTTTGGTAATTTTCGTAAAGTATTTACCACGTCAGCTAAGCTAACTTTCCAGTCGAGCATGGACCTAAAAGTTGAATTATTTGCTTTCTCTTGGCGGTACCATTTAGATGTGCAATGATTGATGGATTGCTCCAAATTCCTGACCAGAAGGTGTTGATGGCATCTGAGGTAGGAATCTGAACGTTGTTCTGTTCTGTATCCCTCCGTCGCGCCTGCAAGTTCCTGTAAAAGCCTCGCTGATTGGTCTCGAATGCTCGATTTTGTTTCCGGCGTTCGTTGCTTTTCTTGTACCTTCGAAGTCGCAGTGCTGTAGCTGCTAGTTTTTGCTTCAGGTAGTCCAAGACTTCTACAGCTGTTGGGTTCTCCTCCGAGCAGTGACGGTTTATCACATTCTCTGCGGATCTCTTTACTCTCAGACTACATTCAGACCTGCGGTACTGGGTGAGTATTGCTATGTCCTTTCTAATCTCCTCTATATTACGCGATATCCTCATCTCCCAGGCTGGCAGTTTTCTGTTTTTCCTTACACATTGTTCGCCAACTCTCTGTTCGTTTAATTTTAGGACTGTAAGTGCTCCAATGTACAACAGGCTATGGAGCTCAGTCAAGGTTGTATCTTCTGTAATCTCGTTATCTATTACTTTGTTAACTTCAGCGATATACTCAGATGTATGGGGTTTCATTATTAGCTTTGGTAGGCTTGGTTTAAGAGTTGGCTCCACACCATCATAGCTCATGAACAAGCCCCTGAACTCATCTGCGTATTTAGAGGGTTGGTCATCGTTTGCCTCAATTTGTTATTGGTTTTCTGTGTGCTCTTGCGGAGCTTGTTCTTGCATTCCTAATTCTATGGATATCTCTTCTCTTATTTTGTTTATCTCCTCTACCGGCAATCTGTTGTTTATGAATACGGATCGGCGCTGGTCTAGTACGTTTTGCACAGTTTTGCCTTGCAGGTGAGGGAAGTTCATGATAACTTGTTGGTGTAGTTCAGTACCATAGGGCTCTGTGGATGTTTCTAGTTTAGTGATTCTGTAGTAGGAGCGAACCACGAATCTGTTCATTTCGATAGTCCACGTGGTTCTTTTCCTACTCCTATTGTCTGGCATTATGGGCTGGAGCTCTTGGCTTCCAGCAACATGATTGCCATCTTATTATTATAATTATTATTATTCTTATTATTATTATAATAATAATAATTATCTACTATCATTATTATTATAATTATTATTATCATGATTATTATTATTATTATTATTATTATTATTATTATTATAATAACTATTATTATTATTATTATGATTATTATTATTATTATAATTATTATTTTTATTATAACTATTATTATTATTATAATTATTATTATTAATTATTATTATTGTTATAGCTATTATTATTATTATTATAATTATTATTATTATTATTATAACTATTATTATTATTATTATAATTATTATTATTATTATAGCTATTATTATCATAATTATAATTATTATAATAATTATAATTATTATTATTATTATAGCTATTATTATTATTATTATAATAATAATTACTATTATTGTTATAATTATAATTATGATTATTATTGTTATTATTATTATAATAATAATAATTATTATTATTATTATGATTGTTATAACATTATTAATATTTTTATGATTATTATTATTGTAATTAATATTATTATTATAACTATTATTATTATTATTATTATAGTTATTAATTATTATAGTTATTATTATTATAATTATTATTATTATTATGATTGTTATAATTATTATTATAATTATTATTATTATTATTATTATTATTATTATTATTATTATAATTATTATTATTATTATAATTACTATTATTATATAATAAATAATTATTATTATTATTGTTATTATGATTGTTATAATTATTATTATTATTATAATTATAGTTATTATTATTATTATTATAATTATAATTATTATTATTATTATGATTATTATTATTATTATAATTATTATAACCATTATCATTATTATTATAATTATTATTATTATAATAATAATAATAATTATTATTATTTATTATTATATTATTATTATTATAATTATTATTATTATTATAACTACTATTATTATTATTATTCCGTTTTCTGTTAGCTATTCTCTGCTACTGCAGGTGGTATCCTCAAACGCGGCATTATACTGCAAGCGTCTGAGTGTGACTATTGGTTTCTCTTTGTCTATGTGGCTACATTCAGGACCTTGCGTGCTATATGCCAACTACCTAAGATAGCAGCTTTCTGAAGTGAGAGGTATAGTTTCTGGGCAGATTTAGTTTCTCAATATATTTATGTAGACTCTTAGGTATTTATCCT